GCAACAGCAGCAGCTTGTTGCTCGTTCAGGACGGCTCTTCGGAAGCATCTGCTTGCAGCTTTCGCTCTGCCGCCAGTTGCTGCTGCTCGCTCTGCTGCTGCTGCTGCTGCTGCTGTTGCTGCTGCTTCTGCTGCAGCAGCAGCAGCGCCTCGATGTCAAGTAACCCTGCGGGCAGAGCGGTGCTGCAGCAGCTGCAGCAGCAGCAGCAACAGCAGCAGCAGCAGCAGCAGCAGCAGCAGCTCGCTGCGTTTAGTCGTGGATGTGGGCTTGCTGCAGCAGCGGCTCACAACGGATTTGCTGCTGCTGCTGCAGCAGCTGCTGTCTTTCCCGCTGCTGCTGCAGCTGCTTGCTGATGTCTATGTTCTTGTGGGGGTCTGCTTACAGCTGCTGCTGCTGCTGCATGCAGCCAAACCTCAAGAAGCAGCAGCAGCAGCAGCAACAGCAGCAGCAGCAGCAGCAGCAGCAACGGGATTTCCATCTGCTGCTGGCTTCCGCTCCCCTGCTGCAGCAGAGCTGCTGCTGCTGCCGCAAAGCAGCGCATGCATCTTTGCCTGCAGCAACCCTGCTTGTAGCAGCAGCAGCAGCAGCAGCAACAGCAGGAGCAGCAGCAGCAGCAGCAGCAACAGCAGCAGCAGCAGCAGTCGTCCTGGTGTTGTTCTTTGGTTTGTTGAATCAGCAGCAGCCAGCAGCAGTTTGCTGCTGCCGTTTGATTCTCCCTTTCTCGCAGCAGCAGCAGCTTTTGTCTGCTGCAGCACGTCCTGTGCTGCTGCTGCTGCTGTCACTGCAGCAGCAGCAGCAGAAGAAACGCATGCAGCAACAACGGCAGCAGCAGCAGCAGCAGGCCCTGCTGCTGCTGCTGCTGTTGCTGCTGCTGCAGAACGGGCGGTGCTGCTGCTGCGCACCTCGCTGTGCTGTTGGCTGGCGGGGCCTCCTCTCGCTGCTGCTGCTGCTGCTGCTGCTGCTGCTGCGGCTCCTCAAGGCTTTCTTGCTGCAGTGGATGCATATGTTGCTGCAGCAGCACCAACCGCTGCTGCTGCTGCTGCTGCTGCACCTGCAAGCGTGCGGCAGCTGGCTGCTGCCTGCGGGCTGTGGCAGCAAACGATCCCAGCAGCAGCAGCTTCTCTAGCTCAGCAGCAGCAGCAGCAACAGCTGCTGCTGCAGCTGCTGCAGCACCCTTTGCAGCAGCAGGGCCCGTTGCCGTTGCTATTCGCAGCAGCAGCTGATGCTGCTGCTGCTGCTGCTGCACCTGAATTCAGAACGCCGCTGCTGCAGCAGCTGCAGCAGGAAGCAGCAGCTGCTCTTGCTGCAGCAGGAAGGCTGTGCTTAAGTGGCCTCATTTCTGTCCCTGCTGCTGCTGCTGCTGCTGCTGTTTTCAAACCGAGCAGCATATCACTGCAGCAGCAGCAGCAGCAGCAGCAACAGCAGCTGCTGCCGTTGCTGCTGCTGAAGCCTCGGCTGTCTGTGGGGCTTTGGTGCCTAGCAGAAGCAGCAGCAACGGCGGAGGGAGACTTTCTATCTTTCTCTGCTGCTGCTGCTGCTGCTGCTGCTGCTGCTGGTCCCGCACAGCTGCAGCAGCAGCTGATGCAGCAGCAGCAGCAGCAGCAGCAGCAAGCAGCTGTTGGCCCAGTGCGAGCTTTGTACTGCAGCAGCAGCCTGCAGCAGCAACTATGCATGCTGCTGCTGCAGCAGTGTGCAGACGCCGCAGCAACCTTGTGCTGCTGCATCTGCTGCAGCACCTATCCCAATCCGAAGCAGCAGCAGCAGCAGCAACAGCAGCAGCAGCAGCAGCAGCAGCAGCGGGTCTCGGTGGTGTTGGATGCATGCAGACAGGCACGGTTTGCTGCTCAGCTGCTGCATCGCCTTTTAAGGGGGAGAGCTGCTGCTGGCCTCTTCTTCCTTTCAGGCCCTCTGCAGCAGCAGCAGCAGCAGCAGCAGCAGCAGCAGCA